AGTTGTGTTCAGTGAAGGAGAGGCGAGGCCGAGTAACGTTGCGTTGAGACAAAAGTGGACGAAAGAGAGGCAAACTTGTGGGTCCACAAGTATAATTATAATGTAACATATACTATATCGATATAAACGATATTGTCACATCTTATATCTCGTATAAAAATATATCTATATTTCTAAGAAACTTGATATATCGCCCAGCCCTAGTCTGAAATCATTTTCTTCACTTGTAGTGCGAAAGTGTTGAGTGTGGATGTAAAAATGGAAAATCAATTTAGATAAAAAGATTAAAAAAAGCAAATGCTTATGAATATCACTGCACTGTAATACTACAAGAAAAGGGACATTTTATTTATTTTCTTGCTTTCAGGTTTTTAATCCCTTCAGAAGGATTCCACCTATAAGGAACTAGGTTCAGTGTGGAGAAGACAGAGCTGCAAACATGGAGCAGGATAAAGTCGTGGAGAGTGTTAAACAAAAGCTTAAAGACCATCTCCAGGAAAAGTTTACCTGGATAAATGAGGGCACATCGGATAATCGGTCTCGACTTGACAGCATCTACACAAAACTCTACGTCACTCAGCAGGCTCAGGATTCTGGTTCCATATCACATGAGATTCTTGATCACTTTAATGTCCCAGATCAGCAGTCATCAATTTCACAGGTGTTTTATCAACAGATCGATTTCTTAAATATCTTTAAACCAGGAAGAATTCATGTTCAGCAACAAGCAGCAAAAGAAAAGACAGTCCAAAGAGTGATGACGAAAGGCATCGCTGGCATTGGAAAGACATTTGCTGTCCAAAACTTTGCTCTAAGCTGGGCAGAAGGAAAATCTAACCAGCACATTGATTTCATCTTTGTGCTCCCCTTTAGAGAGCTGAACATGCTCAGAGATGCCGACTACAGTCTGCTGCAGCTTCTCCTTCACTTCTACCCTGAAATAAAACCCCTAGAAGGTACACAGCAGCTTGTTCACAAGCAAGTGCTGTTCATCTTTGATGGTTTGGATGAAAGCAGATTTCCACTGGACTTTGATGGAGCTGTGAGAATAAGTGAAATAGATCGAAGATCAACAGTTGATGTTCTGCTGGCCAACCTCATCCAAGGCAACCTGCTGCCTCGCGCTCTGCTCTGGGTAACATCCAGACCTGCAGCTGCCAGTCAGATACCTTCTAAATACATTGACCAGATGACAGAAGTCCAAGGTTTCACTGAGCAACAAAAAGAGTCATACTTTAGGAAGAGATTCAGCACTGCTAATCAGGCAGAAGAAATCCTGTCTCGTCTTAGAGGAATGATCAGCTTCTATTTCATGGGCCATATCCCAGTGTTTTGCTGGATCATCGCTGAGGTGTTTAGGAAAGGATGGAGTGATGAGAGGAGCCGCGGCATCACAACGATGACAGAGCTGTACATTTATTACTTACTAATTCAAACACAAAGAACGAGACAGAAATATGCAGGGAAAAGCTCCAAGAAGAGGTCCAAACAGAAGAAGTCTCAAGCCCAGAACTCTGCCATGCTTTTGAACTTGTCCAAGTTGGCATTTGAACAGCTGCAGAAAGGAAACATCATATTCTATGAAGAGGACCTCACAGAAAGTGGCATCGATGTTGGTGAAGCATCAGTGTTTTGTGGATTTTGCTCAGAGATTCTTAAGGAAGAACGAGGCCTGTACAAGAAGAAGATGTTCAGCTTTGTGCATTTAAGCTTTCAGGAGTTTCTTGCAGCTCTCTACATGCACCACTGCATCCTGACGGACAACTTCAGTACTTTGAAGTCTTTCCTGGGTGTCGACCCGACAGATCTGAGCTTTCTGGATTTGCAGAAAAAGGTTGTGGATAAAGCCTTGCAAAGTGAGAAAGGTCAGTTAGATCTGTTTCTGTGTTTCTTCCTTGGATTTTCTCTGGAGTCCAATCAAACAGTGCTGCAGGGTTTACTGCCACAGGTAAAGAGCAGCTCGGACACCACCGAAGAGATGAAGGGATACCTGAAGAATTTCCATGTCAAAGACATCCCACGCGAGAGGTACATGAACCTTTTCCTCTGCAAGTTTGAGCTGAAGGAAGAGAGATTTCAGGATGACATCAGAATGTATCTGGATTCAGGAGCGAGACTCTCGACCATCGACTGTGCAGTACTGTCGACCATGATGCAGATATCAGGGGAAGTGCTCGAGGAACTTGATCTGACGAATTCTGTCACACCGTTTATTGGGACTGAGAAACTTGTCCAGCAAATGAAGAACTGCAAGAAGGCTGTGTAAGTAGTGCAAATATTCCGATTTAGTAGGTAAATAAAAGTTTGTTTAGATAGAATGGGAAGAAAATTCATTTAGCCAAATAGCCAAGATTAAGTGAGCCCAGCTGTGGCTAACTGGTGAGTGATAGTACATATGAAGAACAAAACATAATCTAGTTGAAAGTTTCCGATTTTAATACATCAGAGACGCTATATGAAGTGTGCATGCAAATGTGCACCTGCAAGTAGTCACAATGGGATTTCTAGGGAACAGGGAGAGGATCTGGAAGATACTAGTGGCCTAATTAAATCTGGTAAATTGTAATATACTCTGCTTACTTTGAACTTTTTACTGACTAAAGTGAATGAAGTATTTTGGATTATATAAATGTTTTGGAGATTATCTATCGGAATGTCAGGAGCAGGATCACGCCTCCAAACACTCTCCTTCCGGTTGTCATCTATATAGGTTACCCCCGTTCTGCAAGCTGTTCATTCTCGTTTACATGCCCCACCCTCCCTCCCTCCTTGTTCTCAATTTTCTAACTTCTTCATTTCGATTTAGTACATGAGGATCTGCCAGGCCCAGGAGCCATCGCCACTCCCCTTCGAGGCCTTCCCCAAACCGCAGCTCAATTCATGTCAAAGCATCACTTTTGTCTACTAAAACGCTACTACTACTCAAACCTAAAATGAGGACGTGGGCCCAGCTAGTGAAATATACATTGTGTCAAAAACACAACAGTGCATGGTGTGATTTGTGCAAAGAATGTTTAGGCATTTCTGTTGATCTTAAGTCTGAGTATACCGACTGGATCATCCACTTCCTTTTCTGTCTTGTCCAGATTGGTAAATGGCCTGTATTTGTATAGCGCTTTACTAGTCCCTAAGGACCCCCAAAGCGCGTTACACATTCAATCATTCACACACTGGTGATGGTAAGCTACATTGTAGCCACAGCCGCCCTGGGGCGCACTGACAGAGGCGAGATTGGTGTGTTATACCTAAACCTATGTTAGTCCTGATATGAAATTGAACAATAGTATTGGTTGCTGCATACATGTTATGATAACTATTATACAATAATGTTAGCTAATACAGTGTTCATTGCTACTTATGTTTTCTCATTGCCCAGGAAAATAAGAAACCCACCATGACATGCCATTCTCCACTTTTCTTCTGATTCAACAGACTTAAGAGTGAGCATATAAGCAATGATTGCCTGGGTGTACTACTGTCCATTCTTCAGTCAGCAGACTCTTGCTTAAGAGAGTTGTGCCTGGTGTGTTACTCTAACGTCAGTGATGGTTTTCCTTATGCTCTCATTGATGTACTGGGATTTCCTGAGTGTAAACTGGAGATACTGAGGTCAGTGTGAATAACTGTTTCTCTAAGATTTTTAGTTAAATTGTTAAAACATGAGATACAATATGTCCAGTAACGGAATTGCAGTAAATTATCCTTGGTATCCTTTGTTTATACCTGATATGTTTTGCACAGGTTATCTGGGTTTTCTCTAGACTTTAGGAATTGTCACATTCTGACCTCAATCCTTCAATCAAAACAATCACCTCTGAAGGTCCTGAGCTTCACTAACTGCATGTACAGTTATCCAAAGGATTACAGTGGATATTATACAAGAGAGTTGAAAAGAAATGAAAACTATGAAGATTTCATTGATGAATTAACTCTGTTGACTATGATTCCTTCTGCTTTGATCGGTCCAGTCTGCAGACTGGAGCAGTTCAGGTAAATGCAATTAGTGATGGGACCATCTGCACATTTTGCTCTCTTGCATATATGATGTTCAGATGATTTTGTTCTCTCTGCAGCATGCCTGGCTGTTGCCTGAAAAATAAGTGCTGTCAGGTGTTTGCTTCAGTTCTCAGCTCCAACTCCCAGTTGAGGCAGCTTGACCTCAGTTGCAATGACTTACAGGATTCAGGTGTGCAACTGCTCTCTGCTGGACTTGGGAGTTCAAAATGTAGGCTGGAAACACTGAGGTACTGATACACCCTCTGGTCTCATAATGTAGTTCAGATATAGTCATGGTAAAAAAGAAAATGCACACTCAATTCTTTGTACAGAGATATCCACAGGCAGGAATTATCGTTCAGTAGTGCATTTGGGTAATCTTAGACTCTCCCTAAATGTGCTCCTGTTACTGGCCAGCACGTCAGGGTGGCAGGTATTGTTGCATTATTAATAATAAACAAAAACAACCTGGATGAATAACACATGGCATATTACACTGTCCCATTTTTTAATTGAACCAAAGTGCAGATGCAGTGTGTCAAAACTAAATGGGGCTTCATTCATTAGCTTGGAGAGCCACTTTCAGCAGCAATAACGTTAGGTAACTATTTTCTGTATTAATTTATCATCTCTCACATCATTCTGAAGGAATTTTGGTACACCCTTCTTTACACCAATGCTTCAGTTCATTGAGGTTGGCAGGAATTTTTGTATGCACAGTTCTCTTAAGGACACGATACAGTATTTCAGTCTGACCATTGTAGCATCTTGATTATTTTCTTTTCAGTCATTCTGTTGTAGAATTTCTGGGGTGCAAAAGTTACAGAAAGCTGGCGTAAGCAGCAGTACCAGCAACCAGAGATTGATTTGGCTTGGGGTGTGGTTTTGGCTCAGCTGCGGTGGAGAGGTGGAGGGCGCACTCATTGGGCTAGTTGTATGGTTTGTACCATTGTGCCGAGTATTGCTGGCATTTCCGGGAGAGACAGATGGGGCATGGGAACTGCCTTGTGCTTATGCCAGCCAGCTCTTTGAAGTGGCAGCCCAGTGGTTGCAACCTAACCCCACTGGGCTGCCACTTCAAAGAGAGTTAAATTCTAAATCAAGGTGTAAAATCTAAAAGTAAGCAAATAATTCTTGATACAGCTTGTTCAGAAAAGCATAATACTCATTTAGGTAAAGATTTTTTTAAATATCAGACCTTGTTGGCTTGTTTAAAGCCCCTTGTTATGACCTGGCTCGGAACGACCGTAACAAGAGGAGGGTGTCCTGCAACTCCCCATGCTCAAACAGACACAGCCATAGCATCGGGCTTTTTATAACAATTTATTTACACGAATGGCATTCAGAACAACGATAGAGGGAGTGTACGGCTTCAGGGTGAGCCAAGGCCAACACAACAAACAAAACCCAAATCTAAACTTCGGTCCCCCTTTGACCTCTTCAAGAAAGCAACAAAAGAAATGACAAAGTCTAACATCCCTGGTCTAACAACACAGGAGAAAAGAAAACTTCCCAAAATAATCGGCAGCTCACCTCTACTCACTCTGCAATTCACACACATGCCCGAATAAATAAATAGCACAGAGCCCACCGCCTGTTCCCTCATCAGAGTCATTACTGAAGTCCTGACGGTGTAATGTTTTGCCCAGTAGCTCCACCCAGGCATTGGGGATTTGCCGATGGAGCCAGGATTCCATTACAAACTTAAATGTGCTGTGGGCAACAGCTGGCACTGTCATCTCATTTGAGGGGCACTTTAGTGTTCAAGTAGTACAAAAAAAACAGCCAAACAAACAATAAAACACACCCACAAATTTCTGAAATGGTGGAAGAGCATATGGGAACAGTTACCAATAACCATCACAGTGGCAGACATCCATGAAAGGGTCTCGAGTATGAAGAGTTGGACAGCACCAGGCTCTGACATGGTTCACGCCTACTGGCTGAAGAAGCTGACTGCACTTCACGAGCATCTGGCAGCACAAATGAACCAGCTGCTAGTCCACGAGAGATGGCTAACCAAAGCCAGACACTCCTGATCCTCAAGGACCGGTATGGTCCCATTCAACTACTTAACACAGACCCCATGGGGCACACCACAGCAGAGGGGTGCGAATGAGGAAGAGTAATTGCCCATAGAGACAGAGAAAGTCCTCTCGGATAAATATGATTTGAACCATGAAAACAATTTGCCTTTAAGGCCAACTACATGTTCTAGCCTTGAAAGGAGGATGTTGAGGTCAACAGTATCAAAGGCAGAAGTCAAGTCTAGTAGAACTAAAACCACAGGACGCCTTGCATCAGCAGTTACAAGGAGATCATTAAAAACTCTCAGTAGAGCTGTCTCTGTGCTGTGGTGAGATTTGAAACCGGACTGGAATTTTTCCTTGATTCCATTAGTCTCCAAGAAGGATTGTAATTGCTTAAGAAATAGTTTTTCTAAGATTTTAGACATAAAAGGAAGTTTAGAGACCGGTCTGTAGTTTGAAAGGATCGAGATTACTTTTCTTGATAACAGGTTACACCATTGCATGTTTGAAAGCAGTAGGGACGCAGCCTGATAAGAGTGAGGAATTCATTAGAAGAAGCTGCAGGCTCCAATAGTGTTCAGGGCATTATTGATAATGCGAGAGGGAAGCACATCATGACGAGAATTAGAGTTTTTCAGTTGGCCTATTATTTCCCTAAGTGTCAGAAAAGAAAGTTCAAACTGTTGAAAGACCATTGAGGATACCCAACTCTATCTATCCATGAAGCCAGATAACACACACCAATTAGTTAAACAGCAGGACATTATTATTATTATTATTGTTATTATTATTATTATTATTATGCTCTTATGTTTAAACCAAAGAAAATAATAAGGATGTAGTTTATTTTTATCAATACTTGTTTTTGCATGGGCAAAACAAGTTCAAAGTTGCTTCAGCCGCTATGCTTTAGTAAGAGCTATTTTCTCTCCAGGCTGTCATGTTGTGGGATCACAGAGGAAGGTTGTGTCTTTCTGGCCTCAGCTCTGAAGTCCAACCCCTCCCACCTGAGAGAGCTGGACCTGGGCTACAACCATCCAGGCGTGTCAGGAGTGAAACTGCTGTTGGAGCGACTGGAAGACCCAGAATGTAGACTGGAAACGCTCAAGTTGGTACACTGTGTAGCTTCCACACTAAGTTCTGAAAATAATTTCATAACTTCCCTATAAAGTTTTTTTTCATCTTGACCATCAAAATATTGAACTACAGAGCTAGAACTGCTTAACCTTTCTGAAAATGAACTAAATAGTGATTTTGATGTATTAAATGCTTTTAAATTGTCTTAAATAGTCTGAATTGTTTTGTAGTTTAACTCAAAAAATAGATTCTCTCTCACTTTCTTGGTTGTCTTTAACAGTCTGTCATGAGATTTATTCTAAAGACACTTCTTCAGCTGAGAGTCGGAGAGTAGAAACACACACGCTGCAGTTTTTACTTGCAAGGGCGCTCACAGAGCGCTCACACCAGAGTGGGGGCCCTGTGATGTGCGCTCTGTTCTTGCACTTGTCTTTATTTATACACAAAAGTAATACAATAGTGAATACGTCTGTTCATAGACAGAGGAATGTTAGTGCGTATGTATGTGCGTATGCATGTGTATGTGTGTGTATTGTGAGAATCTGAAGGACGCGGCCCCTCTTCTTGTTAGGGAGCGAAGGTAAGAGTGTTCAGCTCTCCTCTTCCTGGTAGGGAGTGAAACTGCTTGTTCAGCTCTCATTATCGCTGTGGGAAGAAACTTACAAAACAGAACAGAACAAGTCTTGTAGTGAACAACAGTCTAAGTCATCAAAAGAAGATCACCATGCAGTATTCTATCATATGCAAACGTATATCATTAAAAGCTTATACTGACTACTAAGTACAATTCTCCATTGACACAGTCCCATTGCTATTAACAGGACCCCTTTCTATGTTACTGGCTCAAGATATTTTCTTTTCAAAAATCCAAAGGATGCAAAGTTTCTCTCTTTCTGGCCCCCTTCGTCTGTTATGCAGCAATGTTAACAAAGAACAGTAGCTAAGCGTCTCTACAAATGTTTGAATAACAAAAATGTTTAATAATGTTGCCATGTTAGCGAGTTCAATACAATTGCTTCATAAGGATAAAAAAGGAAAAAAAGACTCCGGCATCTAGAGATAACTTTAACATTAAGGCGCACTAAGGTCAACCAGCTGGCTGCTATATTGAATAGTTAGCAAGTTCTCCATAAATGACCAATGTCAGCACAAATAGATTGACATCAGTAGTGCATTTAATTGATGGAGGGACCTTTCTTGTATTTGAGAATTAAAACTTACCTCAAGCTCTTTCTTTTGGCACTTAGCAGCAGATTAGTTTTTGCTATGGCTGAACTGCAACCTACTAAATGGTGCAAAATAAAGGATGTATCAAAAAGAATTATCTGATTTCAAAATGCTTCAATTCTGCAGCCTTTCTTGGTAGGAATTGAAACACATACTGTTAGTAAGACAGGATTTGTGAGTTTCATAACAACAGTAGTGGCTCATTGACTCCAGACATGCTCACAAGTATAGTTTGCCTGTTGGATGACCATAAGCCATGCTTCCACATGGCATATGTGAATTGTAGATTTTGTATGGAAAACTGTATATCCACCAATATATTTTCAAATTTACTACAAGCTCCTATGTCCAATACTTCACAAAAATACCGCCTGTTGAAATCACTCATGGGGGTTGTTACTTTATCAGATAATGTTGCAAATTAAGTGTTGCCAGAATCACACAGCTCAGCAAACTCAGCTGAACTTAATTAGCCATTTGTTTGTTTGTCTTTATACTAATATTACAGGACCTACTGACCAGTCAGACAGTGTTTCATCAGTGGTTTGGGTGAGCAGAGAGACATGAAACGCTTCACATATAAAGGCTAATTTAACGCACTGAGGACTGCTTTCACAAATAAGAGCTTAAAGTCAAAATTTTGAAAACATGTTTAGCGCTGTCTTCTGTCATATGGTTACGTCATATGGTTGGTTGGCTGTGGCTAATAGACTTACATTCGTTTATGTTAGCTAACTAGTGGCAGGATCTATAACTCAGAGGAAAATAAGGAGATTAAAACTAAAAAAACAATGTAAGGGGATCACATCAGTGCTGCAACAATGAGTTTATGTTAAACTGAGGATATACTGTCCACTTCACTGTCTGTCTCTTTAGCAGAAAGTGGCTGTTCGCTGTTTCGCTAGCTGCAGTCAAACAGGCAAATTAGCGGTTAGCCCTAATGTTAAGGTTTGTAAAGCACTTTACAAATGAGGACTGTGTGGATAGTCTATTTGAGCCAGGTGACAGGTGGCTCACCGGACGGACAGAAACCCTCTGACCAGGGGTACCGAGCAGCACTATTTTATGCAATAAAATAATCTTTCTGTTCCCAAACACACTCGGACAGTTTGCAACATACTATGGCAAACTTAAGCACAGTAGGAGACAGAGATTTCTATTTTGACCTGCAGTTCCTGTGTTCCATACATCGCTTAGCTACAGGAATGCAGCTTAGAGATCTCCCTTAGAGATACGGTAAGAAGTTTGGCCATCCAGGAGGGGCTCAGAGTAGAGCCGCTGCTCCTCCACACCGAAAGGAGCCAGTTGAGGTGGTTCGGGCATCTGACAAGGATGCCTCCTGGGAGCCTCTTGAGTGAGGTATTCTGGGCATGTCCCAGGGAGGAGGCCCCGGGGCAGACCCAGGACACAGGACACACTTGAGAGATTATATCTCTCAGCTGGCCTGGGAGCACCTTGTTGTTCAACTGCTGCCCCCCCGACCCTGCTCCAGATAAGTGGAAGAAGATGGATGAGTGGATGAACCCCCGAACAGAACAGTCGTCAGAGGTCATTAACGAGTACAGCAGCCTCAGTCATGGTGCCCATTGCTGGCCACACTCAATACAGAACAAACAGCTGCAATAACGTTATACATGAACAATAACAATGATAGATTAGTGCAAGATAACTGTAAATTAATACATGAATGTCAAGTGAACATGCCCATGAGTCTTTCGTCTAGTGGCTCCTTCCCTTAGCCTGCTACATAGACCCCACCTGAAGGGGTTAGTCATCCCCAGCAACCCCCTCACCCCACACAAAGTCTTTCAAATGTCCAGGGGTCTGCCCTAGGCCCATTGAAACCAGCTGGGGGAGAGTAATCCTCATCAGGACAGGGTGTACAGCTGGCACCCCCTTCTCATACAGTAGGTGAGACTCTCCTGGTGCAACACTACCATCTGCCTCTGGCGCCTCAGATAACAGTGTCATGACTTCTGCAGTCCCTTGCCAGTGACTGCAGAGCTTCGGGGAGACACCCTTACTGCAGACAGGGCAATATACCCAGACCTATCCCCTGGCACAAAGGCTCTCTCCTGGCACTTGGTGTTGTAGGCCCTCTCCTGTCGTACTCCCACGTTGGCCTGGGCCTGGCGAGTGTAATCATGGACCACCTGCAGCCATTCCCTCAGCCTCCTGAAGTAGTCCATTTCTTGCCCATCAGCAATCTCAGGCTTAGGTGGGGCTCCAAACACCAAGTCCACTGGTGTTCAGAGCAATCTCCAACCTTCCTTTCATATCAAACATCCTTGAAAGAGTAGTTGTCAAACAGCTAACAGATCATCTGCAGAGGTTTCAGTCAGGTTTCAGAGCTCAGCACAGCACAGAAACAGCTTTAGTGAAGGTTACAAATGATCTTCTTATGGCCTCTGACAGTGGACTCATCTCTGTGCTTGTC